GGCTGTTCTAAGGCTTTTCACAACATTTTAAGGTCACACTTTTTATTTGCGTTTATATTTTCTTTGATTCGAATCATATATAATACTTTGTATTTCTTGTCGTTTGTAAAAATCACAAGAAATAATATCTTTAAGTTTTTTCGAGGTGTCATTTCTCAAAATAATTTAAACCCAATTTGACTTTTACACTATTATGTTTAATTTAATATTAAAAAACATTTTTTTTTTGCTCAAAGTTTAATGAAATGTGTGCCAGGAAATCTTTTCTTTTTTTCAAATATTTTTATAACAAAAATTATTATTTTTTATATTTTTATCTAGTCTCGGTAGCGTTGAATGGGGAGTGCTAAGGTAATTGAGGTTCACAGCCTTCCTTATTTTGGTGTTTTCTGTTTAGTGTTATTTCGGATTAGAATCTTTCTAAAAATCCTAAAGGATATCATTTATTACTATTCTAGTCTCTGTAATGTTGAATCGAGAGTGCTAAGGCAATGGAGATTCCAAGTCTTCCATTGTTTTACTGTTGTCTTTTTAGCATTATTTGGGATTAGGTTCTTTTCAAAAAACTCTAGAGGACATAATTTTTATTTTCTGTAATTTTAAACTAAATTTCAAACAATAATCACTCTATTCCAGTCTCTGTAATAGTTTTCTGCAGGGCATTGTCATTGGATTAAATAATCATTTTACTATTTTTTTGATTATTCTCTAATTGCATTTAACTTTATAAAAAGGTGTGAGGTATCAGGTTTATACTAAAACCATTCAAAATATTTATAATTTTGTTCATGTTTAATATAATAAAACTTAAATTTGATAATTTGAAACTAATGCATTTTGCACATCATTAGTTATATTTTCGAGTAAATTAAATTCTCGTTGAAAATAACATTAACTCATATTTTCCTCACTTATTATTATTCAATCTCTAGAATTCTCTATACAGATTTATCTCGTTAAAGACACCTTAAATCTTTCTTGTTACCTATCGTAGCAAATCTATAATTTTTGTGGCCTTGAGATGTCCGATGTGCAAGGTCTCAGTCGTAATACCTTCTTCACTAACTGTTGCCTTAAGGTACTCTTGTCCTTAATGCTGTTTCTGAGGAGGCACGACGATTGGTGCAGGTCTGGAACGAAGATTTACTGGAAAAGGACAGTAATATGGAGAGCATGGAACGAGATAAAATCAGGTATGTTATAAGATTTATTTCTTTATATATTTTCTAACTAACGTATTTTTTCTGTTGTTTCAGGTTAGTGAGCGTATATTTTTTGTGCAAGGGATGCACATCGTGGGGAGCGCTCTGCAAAAAACGTAAGTTTGTTTAAAAATTTTTCCTGGTTTATTTGGTTGTTCGTTTATTTTCCCGGAGATGGCGTGAGCGCGGTCCTGCAGGAGCTAAAGTCACCTGTGGGGCCCCTCACAGAAGCGAAGCAGAGTGTCGAGTCGACCTCTACCGGGGCTAAAGTCCCCTGTATGAGCGTCCTCACAGAAGCACGTTGGGTTGACTTCTGCAGGGGCTAACGTCCTCTGTGGGGGCTACCACAGAAGCAAAGAACATGCTTTCCTCTCGAAAGCAGCAGAGGTCCATTGGGTTGTTATGTGTATCAGTCTGTTTATTGGGTTGTTTTGTCTATCGGCTTTTTTAAGAATGTATTTGATGTTCTTATAGCTCTGTTCATATTGTCTAAGTCAAATTAAAGTCTAGAAAACCCCTAACAGTTATTTTTATTTTCTTAAATTAAACGTGTAGATGTAGGTAACTTTCTTTAACTTCTTAATTTTTTTAACTCACTTTTATTTAATTATTACTATTTTAGAATAAACGTATGTCAATAACGCATTTCAATTAAATGTTTAATACAAATAGTTTAAATTTTCTAAATTTATTTTTATATTTCCAATTCAAGTTCAGATATAATTCTAGGCCCCAGAAAAAAGGAATCAAGTTTTTTAAGTTGTGTAGAAGAGATTTTTATGACTTTCTAGGTTACTATTAGTATTAGCAGTATTGTTTGTAATTTTAAACTAAATTTAATAGAATACTTAATCATCATATTCTAGTCTCTGTAATGTTGAATCGAGGGTGCTGAGATAATGAGGATTCCAAGTCTTTTATTGTTTTAGTGTTTTCTTTTTAACGTTATTTGGGATTAGATTCTCTATGATTTAAACTATTTCAAAAAAAACTTTTATTAACTATAGTTAATATCATTCTTCATATTATCTTAGTCAAATTTAAATCTAGTGAATATCTAACAGATAATATGTTTATTTTCTTAAATTAAACGTGTAGGTGTAGTATGAACTCTCTATAACTTCCTAATTTTTTAACTCACTTTCTTTTACTTATTACTACTCTAGAGTAAACGCATGCCAATATCTAAGCATTTCAATAACTAAATTTTCAATACAAATAGTCTACATGTTTTAAATTTATTTTTGTATTTTCAATTCAAATTCAGGTATGATTCCAGGGCCTAGAAAAAGGAATCGAGTTTTTTAGTAGCGCAGTAGAAATTTTTAGGACTTTTTGAGGTCATCATTAGTTCAAGTTTAAATTTTTGAGGTCCAAAACTTGACAGGGTCATATCGAAGTCTGGTTTATTTTCTTACAGGAGTAGGTTAGGGTTCTCTGTATGAGCTGCAATGTAGGTATTGTGGATTGGTTGTTGCATATCCTTTTTTTCAGGGCGCTATATGTGGAATTTTTGGGAGGGTAGTGTTGAGTGCTGTGAAGATATTAGACAAATTTTGAATGTGAAAAAAAATATTGACTGTAAAAAATATATACTACAGGTTAGACAGGGAGACGAGATATCCCCACAGCTGTTTACAGCAACACTAGAAGAAATCTTCCGTCAACTGGACTGGACGGATTAAAAATAGATGGGGAATATCTTAACATCCAAGATTCGCTGATGACATAGTTCTAATTGTTAATATTCCTGAAGAACTAAAAGCCCAAATTAACGAACTAAATACAGCCAGCAGTAAAATAGGTCTCAAAATTAATGTATCTTCTACAAGCAAAAACTAAAGTAATGTACAGGGTGTCCCACTAAGAATAGCTCTCGACTGTATCTCGGAAAGTATTAGCCATAGGGGCTGCGGAAAAAAATATTTATAACTAAAGAGGCTATGAGAAATTGCTGGAAATTATTTTCAAGTTTGTAGAACGACCGCTAGGGGGCGCAACTGCAACAAAAAATAAGAAAATGGAGTTTTTACACCATTTTGCCTAGATAAGGTGTACTATAAGTAATACCTTCATAATCTTCAGTAAATTTTGAATATTTTTTGTTAGAGTCATTTTCCCCTATCTACCAAAATGGATTTTAAAATAAACTAACTGTTTCTATCTTATTTTTTTATTAGAATGGGCATAATCAAGAGGGCTACTGATACCGTGTTGTATAAATAAGGTAATTAAGGGCTTATTTTTTGGTATTTATTATAATTTTGCTAATATCTTCGGCTTGAAAGAAGATATCAAGATGCGGTTTTCGCTGATTTTTTAAGCTTTTACTACTCTTTACTATCAGCTAAAATTACATATATTCTCGTGTTTAATTTTTTTGAAAAAACGCGCTATGTTTGTTAGATTGTAAGAAAGCGCCCCCTAGCGGCTACGTTCAAAACCTTATTATTATTATTTTTATGGTACTATATAGAGTAAGAAACGCTCTTTTAAACGAGCCCTCGCTTGTTGGATTCTGATCATCCAGTCCGGAGTTATTAACATTTATATAAAGATAGATCTAACCTTCCTCCACCACTTTATTTTAGCAGATAGGGGAAAATGTTTCTAACAAAGAAAATCCAAAATTTACTGAAGATTATGAAGCTATTATTTATAGTACTCATTATCTAGGCAAAATTTTGTAAAAATTCTATTTTCTTATTTGCCATAGCAGTTGCGCCCCCTAGCGGCTGTTTTACAAACTTGAAAGTAATTTCCAGCAATTTCTCCTAGCCCCTTTAGTTATAAATATTTTTTTCCGTAAGCCCTATGGCTAATACTTTCCGAGATACAGCCGAGAGCTATTCTTAGTGGGACACCCAGTATAACGAACTAGTAGACAGAAAAGATATTCCAATGAATAGCACAACATAGTAGAATAATAAATATATTTGAGACAACTAATACAGAGCTCGGGATCTTCACCACCCGCAATCAACAGAAGAATTATGTTAGCATGGAGTAATTATGGAAGAAGCTCCATAACCAAACCAAACCAAATCATATTCAAATCCAGAATGCCACTTTATCTAAAGAACAAAACATTCGACCAATGTGTACTACCAGTCATGACCTAGGCAGGCGAAACCTGGACACTTAAAACGGACATCATAAGGAAACTGTAGGTCGCACAACGTTCAATGGAACGAAATTGCTGGGAATAACCAAGAGAGACCATAAAAGAATAGAGTGGATACGACAAAAGACCCTCAAAAGTCAAATCCCTGAAGTGGCAATAGGCAGGATACCTGGCAAGAAGGACGAACAACAGATGGGCCAGAAAAATTACAGCATGGTACACACAAGGAACTAAGAGACCTAGAAGACCATGATATTAGGAAATTAGCCGGGGTTAATTAACTTGAGCTCGCATAGCCAACAATAGACAACAATGGGCCCAACTACAAAGAGATTATCTAAATATGTGAGAGAGGCTACACCATAGTGTTTGTTGAACAAGCTGAAAATGATGATGACTACAGGTAAGAAAGTATCTTCTTGCAGCTTCATAATTTTCTAGATTTTTAAATATGTTTTTTTTTATTTTTTAGATAAAATAAATTGCATCGAAATTGAAGTGTACAAATAAAATATATTGGATGTCCAAGTAAGAAATTATTTTATGAAAAAAAAACGTATTAATATGTGGCAAATTTGTGAGTTATTTTGGTAAACCATAATATTTATTATTATAAGACAAAATTCTAGTTTATAATTATATTTGTTTTTTTATAGTCATTATATCAATACTAATACTTTTTTCTTTTTTGTATCAAACTTCTAGGGAATATTTATCGGAAATTTTTTCCTTCACCATAAAGTCAAGAAAATCTTGGAAAATGGAAGAAAGAAATGAATATATGGGCATGGATAGGAGTAGAAGATAAAATTTAAGATATTAGTAGCAGTTGCCAAATTATTTTGGTTTTTGAAATAGCTACTCGCTACGGTGAGAACTTATATTATTTTTTAACCTCTTATTTACACACTACCTACCTTAAATTATTAATGAGTATTCCTACGTATATTTTTTTAAATAGTTGCTGTTTTCATGGTTTGAATCCCATCTTCATTTTAATAAGAGCTAAAAAATACTATAAACATGCTCAAATAATTATGCAAAAGAAACAAAGGTAATATGTATTACTGTTTAATTCCTTTTTTTTTAATAGTTACTGCTTTCAACGTTTAAGTCCCATATTAGGGCTAATAAGAGCTAAAAAATACTAAATACGCTCAAATAATTATACGAAGAAACAAAGTTAATAAGAATAACAGAATAAGTTTTACCAAAAGTTTATACTTATTATTTAAAATATAAGATTGATGTTGAAAATTTCTTTTTTAAAATCATTCCAGAGAGGTGATGAATTACTGTTATTACTAAGTATATGCTTATAAATACCTCAACTTTGCCGTGAAAAGGAAAAAAAATGATCTTAATTGATAATAGTCCCGTTTTAGTTTAATAGAACTCTGAAAATAAAATTCATATTAAAAAAATATATTTTTTGTTTTATATTAAAAAAATATATTCAAAAATCTCTTTCTTTTAATTTTTTTTTTGTACTGGTGGTACTGGTAAAATCACAAGGTAAAATTGAAATATCAGTGTTGCCAAAAGTAAATAAATAAATTTGGACCCTTATGGCGCCCATGAGAGGGGAGTGATTTTTTCGGCCATAAATTAAAAAAATCGATAAAGCACTCATAAATACCCATCCCTATTTCTTTGGAACCTTTTTCATTTATGCTCTGTGGCGCCTAGTTTGACTGTTTGACAACCTTTTGACAATCGTCTGATTATTTAGAGGTTATGTTTAGTTATTTTTATCGTTAACGTAAAGTAAATGTTTTCGTTTTGGAATCTGCCAACTATCGAAGTGGAAACTTGTGAAATATCCTTAGACTATTTCCAATTTGTCGAAATAATCCGATTTCACATCTAATTCCAATTGTTATGTACCTTGTAACGTGTTATAATCTTTTCTTAGATAAGAATATTCGAGTTTTGAACTAAGGAGATTGTTTATTGCATATCCTAAAGCCACCATTACGATGTCTTCATATTTACGGGGATCCGCCAATTATGTCTGGTCTACCACCAGCATATTGGGTAAAGGAGCAACGGCAACAGTCCATCAAGGAGTAAACAAAGTTAATGGCGAACCAGTAGCAGTCAAAACTTTCAATCACATATCAACTTTGCGTCCGCAAGAAGTCCAAATTAGAGAATTCGAAGTTCTGAGGTACATAAATTAAATCAATCTAACACGACGCATGATTAAAAAACTTATATGTATGTAATTAATTGTTTATTGAAGGAAAGTTAACCATGAAAACATTGTTAAATTGCTGGCAATTGAAGAAGAACAAGAAAACAGAGGTAAAGTCATTGTCATGGAACTTTGCACAGGCGGCAGTTTATTTAATATATTGGATGATCCAGAAAACACATACGGACTGGAAGAATCGGAATTTTTGTTGGTGTTAGCTCATTTGTACGCCGGCATGAAACATTTGAGGGATAATAATTTGGTACACAGAGACTTAAAACCAGGTAAATTCTTGGGTAATTAATATCTAAGTAATGTATTTATAGGTTTACTGGTTTTAGGGAACATCATGAAATTTATTAAAGATGATGGAACAACTGTTTACAAGTTGACAGATTTTGGTGCTGCCAGAGAACTACAAGATGGTCAACACTTTGTATCTCTTTATGGTACCGAGGAGTATCTTCACCCAGACATGTATGAGAGAGCAGTTTTGAGAAAACATGCTAATAAGACTTTTGGTGCTACAATTGACTTGTGGTCTATTGGTGTGACTCTTTACCATGTTGCTACGGGGAATTTACCTTTTCGGCCCTATGGTGGTAGAAGGAACAAGGAAACCATGCATCACATTACAACAAAGAAGGTATGATTTATATATTAAATAATTGGTTTTTACCTATACTAAGTGATTCTGGCAATGCAATAGAAATAAAATATCTACTTCTACATTGATAGTAAATAAGATATATACGACAAGATCAAGTGTGGTTTATTTGATGACAGATAAACAAATTTTATGGGATTTTACAATGGAATTTGTTGAACTGTCATAGTCAAGATCCGATTGAAAATACTATAGGGCATGTTTACAAAACAGCTTTTTTTATTTTGATTCCTAGGATTGTGTATTTATTTCATTTTTTTTTTCTGTTTATCTTAATTACATTAAAACTAGTTTAAGTTTACAAAAGGCCATAGGATTTATTCATACTTTATATTTACATAAAAATAAAAAAAATTACAGTGTCCTGCAAAAATGGGTTGGGTATATGGTGCTACTAGAATAAAAAACTTGGGAATTTTGTGTAAGTGCTAACCTAAAGTATGTACTACGATGTATTTCAGGAAAATATTTTATCTTCTACAGGGTGGCTCAAAAAAAAGTGAATGGATAGGGATGCCATTTTTTTAAATGGAACAACCTGTTTATTGTTGCATTTTTGGCTTCTTTTCTGATAACTTAGATAATCGTAAGATATTAATAATAAACGTCTTTATTTTTTTTAACTTTCTGATAGTTTCAGAGATGTTAATAAATATTAAATTATTAATAACTAAGTTTTTGATAGTTTCAGAGGTATTAATAAAATAATAAATAAAAAATAAAGTTTTCAGCCTTTTCAGCTTTTTTTTAATTATTAAACAGACAAGAAGTGTCCTGAAATCAAAAGTATACTAGGCATTTACTACAGTTGATCTGTACTTACTTTTAATTAAACACCCCAATATTTTTTCTTGGCTGGATGGAGAATTAAAAAATAAACATTTTTTGGTTTTGCAGATATCCGCGGTATTATTTTGCGAATGGCTTTTTCAACAATAAATGTTTATCAAAGCCACATAATGATGTTTGTCTGGTATTTTACCATTCAAAGAGCCATATGCAATAATACAGCGAATATTTGCGAATGTGTAAATTAAAAAAAAATGTTTATATTTGCCTCTCCACCCATCAAAATATTGATATACAGGGAAGAAAAATTATTTTATATTTCATAAAGTTTGACATGGAATTTAGAACAATCATCGGCATCGATTCCAACAAAGACCTAATATTATTTTCTGAACTCTCAGACCAAGCTTGTGACAGAGCAGCAAATAATTGATCTTTATTTGTAAATTTTTCCGGGTGTTTCTGCCTGACTTCGCGTTCTAGTTGCTCCCATTTTTCTATGGGGTTCAAATCCGGGCTCTGAGCTGGCTATTTTATAACAGGCACTTGTTCTGCTTCAACAAATTCTTTAACGATTTTTGCAGTATGCTTTGGATCGTTATCATGCTGAAACTTCCAAACAAGAGGTAACGATTCCTCAGCAAATGGCAACATCGTATTTCTTAAAATGTCCAGATACTGATACCGATCCGTAATTCCTTCTATTCTTCTTGGTGGTCCCATCCCATGGCCAGAGAAGCACCCCCACACAAGCACGTTGCTACCCCCATGTTTGATAGTTGGCGTAGTATATTTAGGATTGTATCTTTCGTTATTAGGACCCTAACCCACTTCATACCATCGGAGCCGAACATGTTAAATTTGCTTTCATCCGACCATAGCACTTGTTTCCATTGGTCCTAACTCCAATTTAAATGTTTTATGGCAAAATCCAAACGAGACCGTCGATTTTTTTTTGAAATAAACGGCCTTTTGGCAGGGCGTCTGGCTTGTAGTTTCCCTTCACTTAGGCGTCTTCTAATAGTCCTCACAGAAATTGAAACATGTGGATTTTTCTTTTTTATATTGACCGCAGTAAAAAATGGATTTTTCAAAGAACACCTTCTTATTAATTTATCGGTGGCAGCTCCACTTTTTCTGGGCCGTCCTGGTTTAGGTTTACTTTCAATTGATCCTCTTACTTGGTACAGTTTTATTTCTTTGCAAACAACACTTTTATTGAATTTTAACTGACTTGCAATATCAACTTGCTTGACTCCCTCCTGGTATTTTTTAATAAGCAGTTGTTTTACCTGATTTGATAAATTAATACCACGAGGCATTTCAAAGACAAACTACAAAAATACTGACAAAATATTAACTTTCTCACACAAGCAATATTGAATTTATAGTAATAATAGCAAAAGTTTCTTCATTTATGTCCCCATAAAAATAAACAATTTTACTTATGAGTAAATTCTTTCTAAAAATATTTTTAGTGTTTTTCTTTTTTATTAATTATTGTCAAGATCTATAAACATTTGTATACTTGGCGTATCAATAGCAAATGTATTTGTGGAATGCATTGTAAAATTTAAGTTTCTCCACTTTTGGCCGGCACTGTATAATAAATTAAAAGGACACACTAACTATAGTAAGTACTTAGTGTAATTTTGATTTCAGGTCATAACTTATATTTTTAATATATTTGTTTTTAAAAATGCTGAAAAGTATTTGTTTTTCATTTATATTTATTTATATCTCTGAAATTATAAATAATACAAACTTAATAATATCTTAGGCTATGTAAAGTGATTAAGAAATATGCCAAAAATACAATAATATACAGGTTATTCCATTTAAAAAAAAACATTCCGATTTACTCGTATTTTTGGGCCACCCTGTAAAAGCTATAATATTTTCCTGACATAGGAGTTAGTATCCTTCAAGTATGCATTTACGCAAAATGTCCAGGTTCTTTTTTATCGGACCTACAGATGTTCAAAGTACTTTTGCAGGACCCTGTATCTAATGTTTTACTTTACTATCCACATTTTCTTCATATTATACTTACCTTAAGGATCAAGTTTTTAAGGCATAAAATTCAACATTATGCTTATTATGCTATATAGGTATTTCTTTTGTATTGATTACATTTTTTTGTTCATACAATATCAATGGTTATTTATATAAAATGAGTCATTTAATGTTTGATAAATGCTCTTAATTTTTTTTTGTAAGTCAATATTAAAGTTTTTGGGGACTATATATGTCAGAATTTTAATAGCATTATAAAAGATAATATTGTTTTTATCTCTGTTCATTATAGAATAGTAATAATTATTGTATTTTAACTATATACTAGTAGTGGGAACTATCGAAACATTCGATAGTTGCAATTCATTCGAATAATTCGATAGCTAGTAAAAAAACATTTGTTGAAAACTATTCGAATAAAAATTATCGAATAGATGCGTCATCTGCCTTGAAATATTGTATTCTAGTAATTCGGCAGCAAAAACCATTCATTTATAAAATTCATTCATTTATGAAATTCATTTATTCGTCAGGATCGATTATAATAAAATATTAACTGGATTTTAGTTGTCGCCCGGCGACGTAGGTTCTTTCCGAGAAACCCGACAGCGGTCGGTGGCAATGCTAGAAAGAAGCCGGCATCTTTGATTTTTTGCGGAGTCATATAAAGATAAGGACACATTATTTTTTTATTGAGGTGCTAGTATTTACACAGAAAATACATTATGAAGGGCGCTGTTGCCATATATTGGTATTAGTTGATATTAGCAAAGAATATTATTGTTTGGCTTTAGTTAGTTACGGATAGTATGTCTATATATTTTGCATTTTTTTTATTAATATTCTGTTGTTAGGTTAGGTTAGATAATAAAATATTTCGGATGTAGGAAAATGATTTTTAATGTTTTTAATAAAGACTGGTTTAATAAAAATAATAATAACAGTAATAATTTGTTATACCTATTAACAACAAAATTTAAAATAATTTAATATAAACATTTTTTTACGTAGTAGCAAAATATAAACAACAAATTAGAAGTCAAAATTATTTATATTAGATCCTATTTAAAAATAATATAGTCTCTAAATTTTTTGGCATCGTTGGTTTATTAAATAATAATAATTACAGAGCTAATTTGTTATATTAACAACAAACTTTAAAATCATGAAATATAAACATTTATTAATTTTCTAAGCATGCAGTGTAATGGAAGGAAAATATAAATGAAAAATTAGAAATCAAAATTATTTATATTGGGTACTTTACATTATTATTAAAAAATAATATTTACTTTTACTGGCATTTACATTAAAAAATAAATGAAATATTTCTTCGCAAAAAACTACATGTAAGAGAATTAGCATAAACAAAATACAAACATCGTTAACTTTTTTTTTAAATTGGCACGTGTAAAACTTCAAGTTCATCTCATTTCTCTTAAAAATTGCTACTTCTCAAAATTTCCCATTAAAAAATAGACCATAAATACCATATAAAATAAAATAATTGAAAGATCGAGCTACAGAAAATCACACAAATTTTCGGAAAAATTTGACACCTGCACACGCACACAATCGTCAATTAAAAAAACTACTATTTTAGTATTTTAAATATTTTAATAAACGCAAAAATAGCACAGTATTTATAAGGTGAAGTTATAAAAATTTGGAAGAACTAATAATGCACTGACGCACACAAAAAATCAAACGAATACTAAATTTCATTTTTCATTTATCAAAAGCATTCGATAGTCGTGGCTCAACGATAACCATTTAGTCGCACGGCGAGGTTGTCACATATGCTTTAGTATACAAATGAATGAATGATTTTATTTGAATAAAACCATTCGATAGTTGAAATCATTCATTCAGTAACCATTCGATAGTCTAATTCATTCGATAGTTCCCATCGCTACTATATACGTTAACCCTTAAGTACTAACATATTGAAATAATCCCGCCTATACTAACAGACCGTCTGAGAGACGCATTAAAAAAATACATATTTTGTTTGTGTCTAACAGATTTTTTGTAAGTGGGGTGAATCATTAGCATTAAAACTACAGGAAAAAAATATCGAATGCTTATATTATGCAAACATGTTGTATATTTTTGAAATAAAAGTACTAGTTTTGGATTTTTGACATATCTTTGTTTCTCATAGAGATAGAAAA